ATCCAGACCGGTCCTCACCGCGGCTTTGTTTGCGGTAAGATCGGTCACTCCACTCCCCGCTATTTTCGTCGCCTGGACGACCTGTTTCGTCAGCGCTTCGGCCCGTCGCCAGACCTCCCGGACTGGCACAGTTTGCTTAGTCGTAAGATTCAGATTTTTGACATGGACATGGATGCCATTGTTTCTGTTCTGCATGTGATGTATGCTGATTACTCTAGTGTGCTTCCCGCTTATTACTCACTGTCGGCTCGTGTAGGTGTGCCTAGCTTAGACTCCCCTGCTGCGTCAGACGTAGGATCCCCTGCATTGTGTAGTCTTGGTGCTTCCGTCGTCGTTCCGTCGCCAGACGCCTCTGCTTCGCTTTCCTTCACCTTGGACTCTGGCGCTTCCCGGTGTTTCTTCCGCGACTTCACCACCCTGACGCCGCTTCCTGTTCCTGCTGCCGTTTCTCTTGCTGACCCCTCCGGCGGTCCGGTAGTCGCCCGCAGTTCCACCACCCTTCCCTGTCCGGCGGTTCCTTCGGGCACTCTCACAGGTCTGCATATCCCCTCGTTCTCCAGGAACCTAGTTGGTGTCGGCTGCCTCCAGGACCTTGGCGTCACCACTACGTTCGCTGGTCACGAGCGGCATGCTGTCTGTACCGAGGCCGCCACTGGTGCCCCCCTGTCCACGTTCCCCCGAGACCCGGTGTCCGGCCTGTTCACTCAGGTTGCGGCTGCCTGCTCCTGTCGGTCCCTCACTCACCTGAATCTCCTTTGGCACCACCGCCTAGGTCACCCTGCGCTCCCGCGTCTGCGTCACATGTCCCAGCACGGTCTTGTCCTTGGTCTCCCAGGTTCTCTCCCCGCGTTTCCCTCCTCCCCAGCCCCACCTTGCACGCCTTGTGTCGAGGGTCGGCTTCGCCGTGCCCCTCACTCCTCCTCGTTTCCCCCTACCGCCGCGCCGCTGCAGACCCTGCACCTGGACGTCTGGGGCCCCGCCCCCGTCCCTGGGCCGCGTCGCGAGCGCTACTTCCTTGTGCTTGTCGACGACTTTACTCGTTACACCACAGTCTTTCCCCTGGAGCGCAAGGCCGACGTGTCTGGCGCTCTCATCCCCTGGCTTGTCTCTGCGCGTGTCCACCGCGGTCTCCCTGTCTTGCGTCTTCACTCCGACCGTGGTGGCGAGTTTGCCTCAGGTGTCCTTGGTCGCTTTTGTCGTGCGGAGGGCATCTCCCAGACGTTCACCCTACCGGACTCCCCACAGCATAATGGGGTCGCTGAGCGACGCATCGGTTTGGTCATGGAGGTGGCTCGCACCTCCATGATCCATGCCGGTGCACCCCATTTTCTGTGGCCGTTCGCTGTGCGCTACGCTTCTCACCAGCTTAACCTGTGGCCGCACCCTCAGCAGCCGCAGGTTTCGCCGACCCGTCTTTGGACTGGGTCTCCTGGTGACGCGTCTGCGTTCCACGTCTGGGGCTGCCTTGCTCACGTCCGTGCCTCCGGCACGGACAAGCTCACTGCCCGCACCCTTCCCTGCGTCTTCCTCGGCTTTCCCCTTGACGCGTCTGACTGGCACTTTTCCCACCCGCCGTCTCACCGCTTCTTTCACTCTCGTGACGTCACCTTTAACGAGTCCGTCTCCTACTACCATCACTTCCCCCACCGCGGTCCCCGGGTTACCCCCCCCCCTGTTCCTGGTCACTCCTTCCCCGGTAGTCCCTGCCCCTCCCCCTCCTCCTCCCCGTCCTGCCCCCTCTGGTGTGTCCCACGTCACCCCCCTTCCGTCGGTGGACCCGGTTGAGGAGTCTTCTGACTCTGGTGGCCCTGCTGCGCAGTCCTCGCCGGCCGCCCCTCCCCCGGCGTCCCCTCCCCAGTCCCCTCCTCCACCGCCTCCGCCGCCGCTGCAGCCGTCGGTGTCGCTGCCGCCGCCGCTGCCGCCGTCGCAGCACCCGTTCGTTGACTCTGGGGGTGCTAGTCCCGGTAGCTCTGGGGGTGGATCCTCTGGGGGTGCTGGTGTGGAGTGTGCCGGTGGTAGCCGCGGAGCCGCTTGCAGTCCCGGTGTCGCCGTTGTGCCGCCGCAGCAGCAGTCCCCGTCGGTGTCAGCCCTTCGCCTGCTCGGCCTTCCGTCCCCTGACCCTGCGGCTGTTCCTCTCCGACCGTCTCCTCCTCTTCCAGTCTACGACCCTGTGTTCCCTCCGCCGGACTCGTCCCTGGCCCGTCTTCCTCCTCGTTCCCCTCCTGTGTCCCCTCCCCTGTCTCCTGACCCGACTCCTCCGTCGCACGTCTGGTCTCACCGTCCCTCCCGTGCTCGTCCTGCCTCGCCTGTCTTGCGCTCCCACCCTATGTTGCTTCGTTCCCACGCGTCTCGTCCTCCCCTTCTCCCGTCGCCTCCTCCGTCCTCCCTTGTTGTTGCACCCCCCCCGCTGTCTGACTACCTCCGTGCCGCTCGTCCTCTTGTTCCTCGGGTCCTTGCCTCTCTCGTTACCGACCCGTCTGTTCCGGTCTCGTGCCTTGACGCTCTTGTTGCTGCGGTCGCTGACTTCGCCTCTACCCGCCGCCTTGACTACGCCACCGCTGTGGTCTCTGACCCTGCCTGTCCTCCGTCTGTCGGGGGTGCTCCTGCCCTTGGCAGTGACGTCTTGGAGGACCGCCACTTCGAGCTTGCTTTCCTGTCCGAGGCTGCTCCCCATCTTTGTTCCATGCTGCTAGTCCCTGAGGGTGACCCAGACGCTTTCGACATCCCGACCCCTCGCACTTACGCTGAGGCGACCTCGGGACCTTGGGCCTCTCAGTGGATAGCTGCCATGGAGCAGGAGATGGCATCTTGGAGATCCACCGGCACCTTCGTCGACGCAGTTCCCCCGCCTGGGGTGAACGTAGTCGATGGTCGCTGGCTCTTCAAGGTGAAGCGTCCTCCTGGAGAGCCGCCTGTGTTCAAGGCGCGCTACGTGGCTAGAGGCTTCAGTCAGCGTGAGGGGGTGGACTTCTTCCAGACCTTCGCTCCGACCCCGAAGATGACTACTCTTCGGGTTCTGTTACACCTAGCTGCTCAGCGTGACTACGAGCTTCACTCCCTCGACTTCTCCACTGCCTTCCTTCAGGGCAGCCTACACGAGCAGGTCTACTTGCGTCGCCCTCAGGGCTTTACTGGCACCTTCCCTCCTGGGACCCAGTGGCTCCTGCGGCGCCCTGTCTACGGCCTGCGCCAGGCTCCCCGTGAGTGGCACGACACTCTCCGTACTACGCTAGCTGACCTGCAGTTCTTTCCGTCTTCCACAGACCCCTCACTCTTCGTTCGTGCTGGCCAGACTCCGTTCTACATCCTTGTTTACGTCGACGACCTGGTCTTTGCCACAGCATACAGGGACGCACTAGCCTCCGTGAAGGCAGAGCTGCTGAAGAGACACACGTGCACTGACCTTGGAGAACTGCGCCGTTACCTTGGCTTGCAGATCTCCAGAAACAGAGCAGCGCGCACCATCACCCTGACTCAGTCACACTTGGTGCGCCAGGTCCTTCAGAGGTTCAGCCTTCAGTTCTCCTCTGCACAGCCCACCCCTCTGCCTGTAGACCACAGACTCTCCGCTCCAGTGTCTGAGGAGTCGGTAGAGCCTAGCGGCCCCTACGCAGAGCTGGTGGGTTGCCTCATGTACCTGATGACTTGCACTCGCCCAGATCTCGCGTACCCTCTCAGCATCCTGGCTCGCTTTGTGGCCACAGGCAGACACCGACCGCAGCACTCGTCTGCTGCTAAGAGGGTTTTGCATTATCTTGCTAGTACATCGGGCATGGGGTTAGTGCTAGGAGGACGCAGGCTAGTGGTCCTTACTGGACACACGGACGCTTCGTGGGCAGACGTTGCCGAGACACTCAGGTCTACCCAGGGCTACTGCTTCAGCCTTGGCTCAGGTGCCGTCTCGTGGAGAGCTACCCGCTCCTCCTCTGTTGCCCAGTCCAGCTGTGAGGCTGAGATCTACGCTGGTGCCATGGCGGCACAGGAGCTCCGCTGGCTGACCTTCTTGCTCACTGACTTAGGTGAGCGGCCTAGCTCTGCCCCGGTCCTGTTCGCTGACAACAGGGCCATGATCCTCCTGTGTCAGGAGCCTCGACTCGAGGGCAGAGCAAAGCATATTCAGCTGCGATACTTCCTCCTGCGCGAGCTACAGCAGCGACGCCAGGCTCGCGTAGTACACTTGGCCTCAGATGCCAACACAGCTGATATCTTTACGAAGGCGCTTGCGCCTAAAGATCATCAGCGGCACTGCGTACAGCTTGGTCTAGTTCCTGTAGCCTCTCACTTGCTAGGGCCTTGACTTTGTACTGTCCTTTATATGTATACTCAGACTGGACTTGTGTCCTCTCCCAGTGGCTAGACTAGTAGTGTCGCCCTGGTCATGTTCTTGCCTTGTCTCAACTCCGTCTGACTGGTCTTTTAGACCCTTGTCTCAGAGGTTGGACTAGTAGTGCCGCCCTGAGCTGCTTGTTCAGGTCATTCCCCTATGCAGTCTAGGGAGTGTGTCAAACATAAGTATAACTCATGTTTGTATAGACTGTATAGGGTCGCCTCTTAGAGGGTACAACACACTTAGGTATATACCCTTGTACTCTCTCTCTATTCAACAATTCTTCAGTTCTAAGAGCCTATGTGTCGGTTCGACTTTGTGGGGCCGCCAAATCAGTAGGACAACTATCTAACAGCTAACATCCATTTGTATCACAAAACTTTTTCGTTGGGCCTCTCATCTCCGTTTTCGGTCTGATTCTTCGAACAAGGCCTTCGTTTTCGTGTGAAAGTTCATATTGAATGTCTCGTTACTATGTTCAATGGAAACTTCAAATCAGCCTAATAATAATGTGCAACGCTGATTGATCAGCCACATTTTTTTAGGTTACCCTGATTTTCCAGCCTTTTTTCGGGGGACAACCTGATGACCAACCCAAGGAATGGTAGGGAACACTGATGGATCAGCATCCCCCAAAACCAATTTGGGGGCCTGGGAGTAGTGTTGTTCAACTCTTCTATATCAAGATATTATGCATATTCTGTTGCTGCAAACTATAGCATACATTATCTATACCCAACATCAACTCGTGGTGCGTTTGAATCCATCTCAAAATACACGAAAGTCTGTTCAAGCTCACATACTACCATACTAAGCCATGCCACTACCACTATCTTGCAGCAGAGCATGCCTTGATGAGGGCCTCTGCACCTGCCACCTGGCGTAGAGGAGAAAATGAGGATGCAAAAAGAGACAACAGCTTGGGAAACGCATGCCATGGATAGTGAAGTGAAAGCAAGCCAGGAGGGCTCGACACCAGATGCCCGGCAGGGAGAACGAGGATGAGGGAGGGAGAGGGAGGACGAGAGAGGGTTAACAAGCATGTTGCAGAATAAGAATGTCACAGATATGCCAAGCCATGCCTCGATGAGTGCCTCTGCACCTAGCATCTGGCACACAGACGGATCTGGAGGAATAGAGTGGATGGCATGCGGGTGGGAAGCAGGGAGTATGGACTGAGCATATCATACGCAATCCTAGCCATGCCTTGATGAGGGTCTCTGCCACACCTGACTGTTGGCATAGGGGTGGGTATGGAGGAATCAAGAGGATGAAGTCAAGATGCGAAGCAAGCGAGGTGGTGTAACATGCAAGTTGCATGTTATTGAAAATATTTTTGCATGACAGTAAGTCTACCATACCATTCCAGCAAAGGACACCATGCGGTGCCCCTAGGGGCAGAGAATGAAGCACCTAGGCAGAATGGAATACGTGGCCAGGAACAAAACAACTGGACAGAAACAGAGCGTGTGGGCGGCAGTACCTGGGCGGCAGTCCCTGGGTGGCAGCACCTGGACAGCAGTACCTGGGCGGCAGCACCTGGGTGACTTTACCTGGGTGGCTTTACCTGGGTGGCTTTACCTGGGTGGCAGTCCCTGTGATCTCCACAATTCGGTCGGCGGTGCCTGGCTCTGAGGGGTGGATCTGCATTCATGGGGAATCGGATTGCAAGTGGGGGGCAACAAGAGCAGGGGACAACACGAGCAGGGGGCAACACGTTGAGGGCAGCAGGAGGGGATAACACATCTGAGAGGACGCTTAATTGTTCAGTACCTGTTACTGGGGGGAGACTCTGCGTTGTGTGGGGGGGTCACGAGCAGGGGACCCTACTGCTTGCCCAGCACCAACCCTTAGACGCCTAAAAAAACACACTCGCAGACACACATCCGTACTTACCTTGATGTTGGCACCAGACATCTGCCGGATGTTCTTGATCGTGTTGCCCCCTTTTCCCAACACCGAGCCTACTGCTTGGCCCGGCAGCCGAAGCTCCGTCCGAGCCTGCCCCTCGCCTTGGCCTCGAGGCTCGGTTGTTTCTGAGGCGGGAATGGGGCGATCCTGCACCCTCCTTCGCTCTGGGTGGTGGTAAAAAGGGGGGACGAGCGGAAACGCCAAAAAGGGGAAACGAATGAGAAGTGGTGCTTTGCTGTGGAGGGAATGAGACGATCCTGCACCCTCGCGATAATAATATACTTTCTGAGACGTCTCAAGTCTAGATTATTATCAACGAGTGGTGCTTTGCTGTGGAGGTGACGGGGCCATCCTGCACTCACGTGATAATAATCTAGTTTTGAGACGTCGTAAAATTAGATAGTTGAATCGAGACGCCTCAAAATTAGATTATTATTTCGAACAGTCTCAAAACTAGTGAAGGGGCTGGAACTGGACTCCGGTGGGGCAGAACGGAAATGCCATTGGGGAAGATGCCACTGGGGAGGAAACATCAGTGTCCAGTGTTGCATCTGCGGAGGAATGGGAATGGGACGAAAAGGCAACCTCCTTCACTCTGAGTGGGGTACAAGGGGTCAGAAAAGGAATCATGGGAGCAGAACGGAAATGCCATTGGGGAGGATGCCACTGGGGAGGAAACATCAGTGGTAACTGCAGGGAGGGGTTGGTACTTGCAGGGAGGGTGGTAACCGCCAGAAGGATTCGACTTAACTGGAAGGGTCGTCAAACGAAGGAGGGGGAGACTGGTAACCCGAGGCAGCCTGGTAACCAGCAGGGGGCTGGTAACCAGATGCAGGGATGTAACCCGATGCATTAGAGCCAGCAGTATAGCCCATGGGAGAAGAAGAGAAGCCACTTGGAGGCATTCCAACACCTCCCCCTGGTGTTCCCCCTGCTGCCCCCTCTGCTGCCCCCCCTGCTGCCCCCCCTGCTGCTGCTTGATAGCTGCTCACTACCCCCAACACCCCTCCCAATCCTCCCCCCATCCGCCCAATCCCCCCTACTCCCCCTAGACTATCCCGGAATCCCATTCCTAGCCCCCAGCTCAAATCTCCTGCTGCTGCTGCAGCTCCCCCTCCGCCCACCGCACCCCCCAAGCCTCCTCCCAAGCTTCCTCCCAAGCCTCCTCCCAAGCCTCCCCCACCATAGCTACTGCCCAAATCCATCCCCAGACCTCCTCCCAAGCCTGCACCCATGAATCCCGAACCTGAAGCTCCCGAGCCTAGCCCGCCCCCTCCCATCCCCAGTCCAGCATCGTACACCCCTGCGCCTGGTGCCAAAGCATAAGTAGGAGGCATCCCCAGACCTACAATCCCAGGACCTGGGTACCCCCCATCCCCCCCACCTCCCCCTCCTCTTCCTCCCCCTCTTCCGCCCCCTCGATCTCCCCCACTGTCTCTACCCCTGAATCCCGCTCCTGCTGCCACTGCTGCTGCCTGCTGCGCTGCTGCTGCTGCAGCGGCAGCAGCATAGGGGTTGAGGGTGGCTCTCGCCGCTGCCACTGAGCCGGCTGTCTCCATCTCCTCCAGGGGCTCGTGGGGCGGGTTGGACCTGTGAATACACGGACAGACCAAGACAGACAGAAAAGGGAACACAAGCACAAATGGAGTGCGACAGCAGCGTAGGGGTTGAGGGTGGCCTTTGCTGCTGCCACCCTGCCGGCCGTCTCCATCTCCTCTAGGGGCTCCTGGGCCGAATTGGACCTGTGGATGCAGAGACAGATAGGGACAGATGGACAGGCAGACAGACAGACATAGGAACAAACACACACATGGAATTTGAGGCAAGCACTACAGTTAGACATGAGCACGAGGCGAGGCGAGGAATCCTTGCCGAGGAATTCCAACCATCGCCCCCCAAACAAGGCGAGGCGAGGATTCCTCACCGAGGATTTTTTGGGAAATCTGATCCTCGATCCTTGGATTTTGGAAGCGAGGATTTTTTTTACTCGCCCTGAGGAAAAATTCCTCGACCCGAGGCAAGGATTCCTCGCCTCGAGGGGGGTGTTTCTATGAGTTTGGGGCATATGTGCACGGAACGAGCTACCCGTCGTTGTGATTTGAACGGCACGACAAATTGCAAGCATCCCATTTTTATGCACATCGCCAGTTTGACATTGAGTATGGAGCTCTCTAACCTCCGAATTCCCCCCACCCCACCGCATTCAATCTCACAGTACCTCCCTAGCCCCAACCTAACCAATATGACATTGCTATCAAATTTGGGATTCAAACCAAACAAAAAAAAACCACTGCTACCGCATTCAATCTCACATCACCTCCCTAACCCAACCTACTTAACCAATCGACATTGTCAGGTCTGGACTCCAAACCCAAAAGCCCCCCCCTCTCACCACATTCAATTCAATCTCACATCACATCCCTAACCCAACCTTTCTGCTCTATGACTAGCACTCACCAGAGATTCGTAGAGCAGAGGGGGGGCTCCATCTGTAGATCGTAATTCCCCCACTTAGCTCTTGCACCACTGTGTAGAAAAAGTGGCGCGAGGATTTTTTCCTCGCGAGGGCAAAATTCCTCGCGAGGAACTACAATCCTCGCCAATTTTGCCCTAGAGTTTCGGAGTCCTTGAATCCTCGGCGAGGCGAGGCGAGGATTCCTTGCCGAGGATTTTTTCGGAAAATCATTCCTCGAATTGCGAAAATTCTGAGGCGAGGAATTCCTCGCCTCGTTGCTCATGTCTAACTACAGTGCAGGCTGCAGCGTTGGCAGACACACACACATGGACAGGCAGGCAGACACGCACCAGCAGCACCTGGCAATAGCACCCTTGCTCATGCAATGGCACGCAGCACGCTGCAACAGCTAGAGCAGCACTCACTTGAGAACGTCTGCAATCGCCTTGAGTGCTGCCTCCAGCTTTGGAAGAGTGCCGGTGATCTGTAAGGGGTGGGATGGGATGGGATGGGATGGGATGGGATGGGATGGGATGGGACGGGATGGGACGGGACGGGAAGGATGAAGATGCATCATCACTCACCTGCGCAAGCCTGTCATCAGGCAGTGACAGGCGAGGTCACCTTGTGGGAAAGGGTGTTCCTGAGACTTCTCAAAAACACCGCGGCGAGGCCACCTCTTTGGGAAGGTGGGCCCCTCTGTCATTCAAGCACACGCACCACTGCTCGACTCCTGAACGCCTCTTACCACCTTGCCTCCCTCTCTTGCTTGCTCCCTACCACATACCCATCAGTACCTACCTACAACCAACCTACCCATCATACCACACGTCTCATTCTCACCCGCACCAGCCTACTTGCTGGCCGGTTTTGAGGTGCCTCAAACCCAACCTACCCAATGTCACGCACATCTCATTCTCACCTGCACGAGCCTGCCTGCTGGCCGGTTTTGAGGCGAACCCAACCTACCCAACGTCACGCACATCTCATTCTCACCTGCACGAGCCTGCCTGCTGGCCGGTTTTGAGGCGCCTCAAACCCAACCTACCCAACGTCATTCTCTTTTTTTTTGCACGTTTCATTCTCACCTGCACGAGCCTGCCTGCTGGCCGGGCGAAGGGCGACGTGGGCCCCTCTGCGATGCGGGCAAACGCCCCACTTGTCTCCCAAATGTCCCGGATCACATTGCCGCCCTCCCTTGTACTCACTCACACCCCCACCCGCACTTCATCCATCCTCGGATCCCTTCTCACCTGCACGAGCCTGTCTGCCAGCAGAGCGAAGCAAAGGACGACGTGGGCCCCTCTCCTTGACCCCCCGATGTCAACCATCTTGCCTTTCTCCCTTGCTCACGACCGCATCCTCATCAGAACCAACCTACCCCCCTGTGCCATTCTCACCTGCACAAGCCTGTCAGCTGCCATTCTCACCTGCAAAAGCCTGTCAGCTGCCATTCTCACTTGCACAAGCCTGTCAGCTGCCATTCTCACCTGCATAAGCCTGTCAGCTGCCATTCTCACTTGCACAAGCCAGTCAGCTGCCATTCTCACCTGCACAAGCCTGTCAGCTACCATTCTCACCTGCACAAGCCTATCTGCCGGCAGGGCGAAGGGCGAGGTGGGCCCTTCTGCGATGCGAACAAATGCTCCACTGCTTTCCCGGATGTCCTTAATAACCTTGCCGCCTCGGCCAATCAGAGCGCCTGACTGCGACGCGGGCACCAGTAGGTTCAGAATGGACCGGCTTGTCTCGTCTGGCTGCTGCTGCTGGCTCTGCTGCTTGCGGTTTTGCTGCTGCTGCTGGTGCTGGTTGTTGTCCTGCTTGGGGGAAGAGGGAGGGTGGCGGGAAGGGAAGTTAGAGAGGCACCAGCAGCAGGTTCGGGATCGATCGGCTTGCCTCGTCTGGCTGCTGCTGCTGGTGTTGGCGATTCTGTTGGCGATTCTGCTGGCGACTCTGCTGGTGCTGGTTGTTGTCCTGCTTGGCGGGAGAGGGAGGGCGGCTCGAAAGGAAGTTAAGGGAAACACCAGCAGCCTGAGGATAGACCACCCTGGCCTCATCCGTGTGCTGCTGCTGCTGTGCTGCCGCTGCTGCTGCTGCTGCTGCTGCTGTGCTGCTGCTGCCGCCGCTGCTGCTGCTGCCGCCGCTGGGGAGACGCGGGAGTCAGAGAAAGGACGGGGAAGGCGGGCAGAAGGAGGGCGAAGAGAGCTGCCTCAGCTGGTGAGGGGTCAGGTGAGGAGGAAAAATTCGCCACTGCCTGTCTGTTCGTTGTTCTTTTTCTCTCTCGAAAGCACATACCTGCGGCAGCAGCGCAGCAGGGAACATGGCAAAGAGAGCTGCCTCGGCTGGTGACTGGGTGACTCTTGATGGGTCGGCCCACAAGTTACCAAAGCCTTTCTCTAGGTCGAATCAAGAGCAACCCTACCTGCGGCAGCAGCGCAGCAGGGAACATCGCGAAGAGAGCTGCCTCTGCTGGTGACGGCTCAGACGAGGAGGATGGGGGCGAGGAGATGACAAGGAGACGCTCCTCTGAGGGCTGGTGGGGTTTCAGCAGAGGAGAGAAGGAAAGAGGGAGAGGGGCAAGAAACAAGAGGATGAGAGGGGCAGGGATGAGGAGGAAGGGGGGGAGGAGACGACGAGGAGACGCTCCTCCGATGGCTGTTAGGGTTTCAGAACCAAAAAAGAGAGCGCAGGGCAACAAGAACGAGAGGAGTGGAAGGGCAGGGGTGAGGAGGAAGGGGGGGAGGAGACGACGAGGAGACGCTCCTCTGATGGCTGGCGGGTGGAGGGGGGGAGAGATGAGGGGGGAGAGAAGCAAGAGATGGGAAGAGATAGGTAATGGAGAAGGGATGGGGAGGAACGGGGCGAGGAGATGGAGAGGAGAAGCTCCTCTGATGGCTGTGTGGGTTCCAGAAAGGCGGAAGGCGCGAGACAAATGGACTCAGAAACAAGAGGATCGGAAGGGGTGAGGAGGACAGGTCAGGGGCGAGGAAATGACGACCAAACGCACCTGTAGAAACGGCTGTGTGGAGTGGAAGGGAGGGATGGAAGGGATGTGAACAGGAGGGAGGCTGACGAGGGGTGGGTTTAAAGGGAGAGATGAAGGAGAGGAGGATGAATATCAAGTTGAAGGACCGAAAACCACACTCAAAATGGTGGGCGGCACGGAGCACATTTGGATCCGTACCCCTTTGCTCTCCCGCATCTGCTTTATCTTGGCGCCCTGCTAGCCTATCACCCCCGCCCAGCCTCACCACTCATTGTGTGTCTCCGACACTCACTCTCCCACACAGTCAACCACAGCACACACACCCACACTCGTTCACTCACAATGGTGGGCGGCACAGAGCACATTCGGATCCTTGCTCCTGTGCTCTCCCTCATCTGCTTTATCTTGGCCCCCTGCTTCCCGATCACCCCGCCGGCCCGGGACTCGTGCACCAGCAGGCGGAAGACGACTGAGAGAGGGAGGGAGAGAGGGGGAAACGGGTTCACACCCAGGTGTTGATTCAATGCGCAGCCCCGCTTGAGAAGGGGAAACAGGGAGAGATCCGAGACGCCTCAACTCAGACCCCCTGCTTGCCTATCACCCCGCTGGCCCCTACTCTCGTGCACCAACAGGCGGAAGACCACTGGAGAGAGAGAGGGGGGGGGGGGGGGGGGGTGGGTATGGGGGGGAGGGGCGGTGAACGGGAGTGGAGACAGGGAGAATTGAGACGTGTCAATCACCCTGCTCGCCTATCACTCCTGGCGAACCGAAACTCGTGCACCAATAGGCGGAAGACAACTTCGAGGATGATGAGAAAGGGCGGGGGAAGGGGGGGGGAAGGGGGGGGAGAGGAGGGGAGGGGGAAGGGGAAGAGAAGAGAACGTCTGAGATTCGGTCCTTGCCCATCATCCATCCCCCTTCCCACAGACGGAACAGCACTGGCGAGAGGAGAGAGGCAACGACGGGGGAAGGGAGGGAACGGCTAGATGCGAGGTGACTTTTGAGTCGACTCAAAAGTCACCTCGTTACAATGTCACACAACACATTTTGAGTCGACTCAAAAGTCACCTCGTTACAATGTCACACAACACATTTTGAATCTACTCAAAAGTCACCTCGTTACAATGTCACACAACACATTTTGAGTCGACTCAAAAGTCACCTCGTTACAATGTCACACAACACATTTTGAGTCGACTCAAAAGTCACGACGGGGGAAGGGAGGGAACGGCTAGATGCGCCTCAGAGAAGCTAGGAGGAAGAGTGGCCACGACGTAGCGGCACTGGGGAATTCCCTTTCAAGGAGATAGGAGGCTGGGAAGAAGGAAAGGGGGAGAATGAGGGAGGAGCGGGGGGATGGGGGGGGAGAGAGTGGGGGCGAGGGTAGGAGGAGCACAAGTGGCGACGATTGGAGGGAGGTGGGGTAGACAACTGCATAAGGCTACTGGGGATAGACGAGGGGAAGGGGAGACGGAAGGGGGAAAGCAGCATCGGGGATTGAAGGAGATAGGAAAAGGGGGAGGGGGAAGGGGGGGAGGGAGGAGGAACACAAGTGGCCACAATTGGAGGGAGGCGGGGTAAACAACTGCATAATGCTACTGGAGATAGACGACGGGGAGGGGAGGGGAGGGGAAAGGAAGGGCGGGCGGGGTAACGCAGCATGGGGGGGTGACGGAGATAGGGGGAGGTGGGGGGAAAGGGGGTGTGTGTGGGGGAGCATGTCGCGTGGGGTGGGGGCTAGGGGTGGGGGTGGGGTGGGGGGTTTGGGTTGGGGGGTAAGGGTTGGGGGTTGAATGCAAATGGGGCGGGGATCTGTGTGAGCATGGAGCAAGAGAGAAGAAAGTACAGGATCGAGGGAAGGAGCTATCTGAGTGTGGCCCTTCCCAAAAACCTCCGCACATACCCCCTCCCCCCCCTTCTCTCTCTCTCTCTCTCTCTCTCTCTCTCTCTCTCTCTCTCTCTCTCTCTCTCTCTCTCTCTCTCTCTCTCTCTCTCTCTCTCTCTCTCTCTCTTTCCCCCCCTCCCCCCCTTTCCCCCCACACACACGAGCAGGCACACACCAGTATTCTGTGAGCCACCGAACTCCTGTGTGCATGGCGAGGCGCATTGCGTAGGGGGAGTCAACCCCAAGCGCGCGAGCAAGGGGGACATAGCGGCGGGGAAGGAAACGAAGCGGGTGTTGTGTGGGGGGGGGGAGTGGAGTGGAGAGGGGGGAGATGCCCCCAGCGTGGCGTGTCGAGGAGCACGAGGAAGGGGATCAGCACCGCACAGCGTGCCGGGGGCGAGCAGCAAGGGGGTTTTGGCCGCATGAAGACCATCAGGGGAAATGCCAAGGCCAAGGGGCATGGGGGTGGGGGGGGCGAGAAGAGTCCAGGGGAGGGGGATGGGGGGGAGAGAGGGAAAGGGTGAGGGGGGGAAGGAACGCGGAGAACGAAGGGAGTGGGGGGAAAAAAGGGGGAAGGGGGGAGGGCGGGGGTGGGGGAGGAGAGGGGAGTGGGTATGAGGGATGCAAAATGGGGACGGAAAATGGGGAAGGGAAGTTAGGGGAACGGTGGAGGGGAGTTGAGATGTGTGGATTGGGATGGGGGATGGGGTTTGGGGAAATCGTGAAAGAGGCTAGGGAATCGGGTACTGACGGAAGGCAGCGTCTGGAGCCGGAAGGGGAGCTGCCTTCCGGATAAGGATGCAATACTTAGCGAATACAGTAATAGCGGGGAACAACGGGCAGTGTGCGTGTATTGTAGGAGAGTTATGGCGGGTTTGGTGGGAAATGCAGGGAACGGGGCGAGACAAAGGGGATACAGGTCTATAGGGATTCGGGCCTGTGAAAAAAAGGGGGAAAGAAGGTGAAAGCAGGAAATCAGGGGAAAACGACGTGGGAACATAAGGGAAGCATTGAACCAGTATGAGTCGTGTTGTGGGAAACCTTATAACACGGGGATGACGTGGAGCACATTTCTACCAGTGGCGTGGGAAGTTACATCCAGCCAACACTGCATCCGACCCCAATAGGAAGGTGATGGGTGGAATGACACACCCTCTTAGCCATCGGCCCTTTCGTTCTCCCCCTCTTCTCCTCACACGCATTTCCACCTTAAGATCGGCGGATCTATAAGGAAGAGTTTCCAACCATCTGCAACTGCGGCACAGGGAGGTAAACCCTCACCTTAACTATTAAAGCCCACATCTCATATTTCCAAACCTTATAGAGTTGAATGGGAAGTTTGAGGCCTGATTGGTCGACGAGGGACGAAAGAATAGGTGGGTTGAGGCGAGGGGTGACGATCTCGAAAAATTCGTACGCGTTTGCCGTACTAAAAATCGGATCTGGCAGGGTCGCACAAACAGACGCGAGGGGAGGTTGGGGTACGTCGCCCAGTTTTTGCGTCGCGGAAACTCGGGTTTCCCCCGAGGTTGCATTGCATTCTCATATTTCAGAGAACCTTTTAGACTTGGTTTGCCCCCGCATCCGCGACCCTGCGATTTCACTGTTACGTTTGGTTGTACGTGGAGCGCGTCGCTCACCAAACCTCAGTTAGGTTGTCGCCCCACTCAGCATTTGACGAGGCTACCTCTTACAGCCAATCAGCGCACAGCAAAACCCCTCCCAAGCCAAACGCAACCCAACCTTCGAAACTGTATGTCGCCCAGCTCGTAACCCTGTTCCAAAGCTTTTAGACTTGAAACGCAGCCTGAAATATGAGATTCGGGCCTTAAATAACCTTAACTAAAATTTTAAATAATTGCGAGCGTACCTCCGTGTGCCGCTTTCGGCGACGGTGGTCATCGCTTGAAGCCGCCATGTTAGGGTTTGGCGACAGTAATGTAGCAGTAAGGAGGAGCTGAATGCTAGTCTGACGCCAAGAGGAAAATGGCCTTCAGAATGACGAGGAGCGCGGAGCGAAGAAAACGTCAGGGGTTGCTGATGAGAACAGCTTCAGGAGGAACACTAGTTGTTTGCAGTGTGGTGGGTGGGTTTAGGTGATGGCTTCATCTGGGGGGAAAGGTCTACGGACGCGCTGCATTGCGTCCAGTTCGATCATTTTCAAATCTTGGAACTGTAGAAAACGGGTAACTCGACAGCTACAGAAGTGTTATGAATAATAACTCAGAGTGCGCGGAATAATAATGACGAGTACAAGAATGGGGGCCTAGCATTATATAGCGAGAGCTCTAGCTAGGCGACGAGCCCGGAAGGCTAGGTTGGGTACAGGCGCGGTCGAAAGGTTCGGAGGCGGTGCGGGCATGCCTCGGGGTCGCGTTGGAAACTGACCGAGCCTGGTGTTCCGAGAGTTCGGGTGTACGCGATTGCAGTACAACCCGGTAAGGAATAAAATTCCTTACACTACCCCCCCCCCTAAGGAAGGTGATCAATATCGGGAACGCCTTTTCGGGTCAAATAAGATTTGAGCACCGAGTGTTCCTGAATCGAGTCGGAAGTGACCCAGGTGTCGTCTTCGCTTGTACCGTCGACCCAGCGGACAAGAAAATCCACGTGGCGTCCTGTCGAGTCGAGGCGAACGCGATGACTCAAAAGCCGAAAAGGCTCCAGCGTGGTTTCAGCCAAGGGACGAACACTTGGGGCGGCTGCAGGTCGTGCGACGGCAGACGTGTTGGCGACGTAGGGGCGAAGCAGGCTGACGTGGAATGCGTCGTGAATTCGCCACTCGTCCGGAAGTAATAACTTCGCTGTGACAGGTGTCACCATCTTGATGATACGAAACGGGCCACAGAATCGTGGGCGGAGTTTGGAAGGCAGGGGCAATCGCAGGTTCTTCGTGTCGAGAAGGACTAGTTGCCCAGCTGTCATCGTGATATCGCGGCGATGAAGATCCGTGTAGCGTCGAGCTGTGGAGTTGGACTTGCGAATGAATTCGATAGCTTTATCCCGGGCAGTTTGTAAAGTGGTCACGAACTGCTGGGATCGTGGTACGGGGTTGTCGATGTTGGTAGTCGTCGGGACTGTCGGGTCCATTCCGTAGTTTAGGAAAAACGGCGAGTGAGTAGTCGTCGCGAATGGGGCATTGTTGTAGGAAAACTCCAACATGGGCAGGAAATCTTCCCACCGAGCAGGATCGGGGCAGTTGGTCCGGATGAGTTGTTCCATGGTCTGATTGGTGCGTTCCGTTTGACCGTCGGTTTGAGGATGGTAGGCGGAGGAGAATTGGAGGCGTGTGCCGTACTGGGCCCATGTCTCCTGCCAGAACTTCGACGTGAATTTCGGGTCGCGGTCGCTGATGATCGCTGAGGGTAGGCCGTGCAGGCGAACAACGGTGGAGATGAAAAGTTTCGCGGTGTCTTCGGCGGTGATTGTGGTACGGCAGGGTGCGAAGTGCGCCATCTTCGTCAGTCGATCGACGACGACCAGCACGGCGTCGTTGCCCGTGGCTGCTGCAGGGAGCCCCGTGACGAAGTCCATCATCACGTGTTGCCACGGTCGCTGGGGTGGCTCGAGCGGTTGCAGCAGTCCAGCCGGCCGCTGGCGAGACGACTTCATGCGTTGGCAGATCGGGCACGCCGACACGTATCTCTGCACATCAGACGCTGAATCAGGCCAATAATAAAAACGGTGAAGTAGCTTTTGGGTTTTGTCAACCCCGAAATGACCGGAGAGATTAGAATCATGGACCTCTTGGATAAGTAATTCGCGGAGGAGTCGGTAGGCGGGAACCCAGATGCGGTCAGTACCGGCTTTTAGAAAGTAGGGTCCCTTTGCGGTGGTGGCCTGTTGGTGGAGGTTACGGGTGAAAAAGGGGTCGGTGTGGTAGCCGTGGGTAAATAGTCCAGTGAGCAGTGGGTTGGATTTCGCAATTATGATGGAGGCGAGGTGGGCGGATGGTCGTGTCAGCGCGTCGGCAATGTTATTCGCCCCACGTTTGTACGTGATCGTGTAGTGGAAATTGCTCTCGAGGAAGTCCAGCCACCGAATTTGTCGTGGATTGAGATTCGGCTGCGCGTGGAGGTACTCTAGTGATTTATGGTCTGTCCGTACTGTCACGTCGGCCCCCGTCAGGTAGCAGCGCCACACTTTGAATGCGTGCACGATGGCGAGCATTTCTTTGTCGTGAACGGGGTAGTTGCGTTCAGCTGCCTGCAACTTCCGGGACTCATACGCGATGGGTTGGAGTCCGTCGCCGAAATCTTGTAACAGTACCGCTCCAATGGCGAAATCGCTGGCGTCCGTCAAGACTTCGAACGGTCGAGATGGGTCGGCGATTTGGAGGACCGGGGGCGACATCAGAAAATTGCGCAGTTCGTCGAAAGCAATTTGCTGTCTCTCCCCCCACTCAAACAAAGTGCCCTTCCGCAGTAAGTCGGTTAATGGTCCGGTTATCCCTGCCATATTGGGGATAAACCGTCGGACGTAATTAACGAACCCGAGAAAACTCTGCAGCTCCTGTAAATTCGTCGGCGGCTTCCAGTCGCGAATCGTCGTAATTTTTTTCGGATCGATTTTGATGCCGTCCGCTCCCACCACGTGTCCCAAAAATTCCAGTTCGGATTTTAGGAACTCGCACTTAGAGCCTTTCGTGATGAGTCGGTTGTCGTGCAGTCGCTGGAAAACTTTCGCCAGGTCCTTGAGGTGCTGTTCCTGGGTCTTGCTGTAGATCAGAATGTCATCAAGGTAGACGATGACACACTTGTCGAGCAGGTCCCGGAATACGCCGTTCATGGTAAGTTGGAACGTGGAGGGCGCGTTCGTGAGGCCAAACGGCATCACCGTGTACTCGTAGCTGCCATATCGGGTTCGAAATGCCGTCTTGTGGCAGTCGTCAGCGAAGACTCGGATTTGATGGTAACCGCCGCGTAAATCGATTTTCGAGAAGAAGCGAGCTCCGCGAAGTTGATCGAGGAGATCGTCCGCGCGGGGGATTGGGTAGCGGGACTTGATTGTTCGTCGGTTCAGCGCCCTGTAGTCGATGCACATTCGCAGACCGCCGTCTTTTTTGGGCGTGAACAGAATGGGTGCCGCGAACGGGGAGGTGCTGGGCCGAATGAACTTTTTCTCCAAGAGGTAGTCCAGTTGGCTTCGCAATTCCGCTAGTTCCGGCTGAGTCAGCCTCCACTGAGTCCTGACTGTAGGCTGCGTGCCGGGTTCCAGGTCAATTTTGTGGTCCTGGGGGCGCTCGGGTGGCAGTCCTGCTGGCAGATCGTCCGGGAAAATATATGGGTATTGACGAATTAGCGCGGCGAGCTCGGCAGGGACATTGGCACAAAGTGTGTCAATGTCCTTTGACGTATCGTCGACCGTCGCTTCGGCCAGGTGGACGGCGTACAAGTCAGCTCCTTTTTTAACCGCTCGCTGGAGAGTGATGGCATTGACACGTGTCGACACCGGATCTCGCCCCCGCCAGCACGGAAGTACGCGCCACCCGTTCGCACAGTGGACGCTGCATTCGCCAGTTGTCCAGTCAATCCTCGGATTGTATTTTCGCAGCCAATCACGCTCGAGCAGAATGTCGCAACCGTCCAGCGTCGTGGCCAGCATCGGCATGCTGAATCCGAAATCGTCTCCGCACTTCATCCGCACCATGTGCGCTCGTTCCCGAATTGCAAGTGGAGTTCCGTCCACCAAGCGCGCGTCGATTTCGGGAAGGCATTTCTCCAACGTCAGCTTCAACTGCTTCGCTGTTGCGATGTGAATGAGACTATGGCTAGCTCCGCCATCCACAAATAATTTTATTTTTTTGCCGTTAACCTTGCCCTCAACCAGCACAGGGTGATCTTCAGGTTCGCTCCCGTTATTCGTCCGAGTGCGGTCGATAGCGTGTATCGGTACCACAACTTGGTGGGAACGTTGAATTTCGGGCGACAAAGCCTCGTCAGTAGGGGGCCCGTCTGCTACTGACTTTTCCCATTTCCCGGCTTCTCCTTGTCGTTCTTCGTCTTCTTGGGCGCCGTCGGGCAGTACTTAGCTCGGTGACCTGGCTTGTCACATCGAAAACATAGCCCGTGAAATACTTCATCGGGCGCTGACACGCCATTGATCGTGGGGCGGGGAGACTGTCCGCGAAAACGACCAACATCCCTGTTGTTCTTTCTCGCCCACTGCTGCAGTGCATCGGCTGCTGACGCTAGCTGGACAGCCTCGTCGAACGTCTTGGGACGGGACCGCTGCAACTCGTATTGAATATCGAAATGCAGCCCACTCACGTATTTGTCCCGCCTTTCCGTTTCGCTGAGGTCGTCGACTTGGTCCGCAAGTGCCGAGAACGACGCAGTGTAATCTTGAACAGTAGTCACCTGCCGCCAGTTGCGCAGCTTCCTGCGAGCGTCGTCTGAGGCGGATGAGTGCTCAAAACGAGCTCGCAGAGCTGTGCCCCACTGTTTCCACGTGCGAATCGTGGTCGTACCGAATAATGTTTCTGCCTGTTGGTTTGAAGAATCCGAAGTCCCGTCCTTCGCCTGGTTCACTCCTGCCGGAGTCCCAATCGCCAACTGTCGGCGCCACCAATCCAACGCTGGTCCTCGAAGCAGCGACACGGCATAATTAATGCGCGCGTCGTCCATGTGTACACTTGCTGCCGTGAAGAACAGCTCCATGCTGAACAGCCACCCTTGCACCGTCGTCGCCTTGTCCGAAGGGTTGAACGGGGGCGGTGTTGCTGGCTTGAGCTTTATCTTCGTTACGGTCACAATGCGCACATCGTCCTGCTCCAACTCCCGTGCGAGCTCGTCAAGGACGGTTTCGCTCGCCGCGTCGTCGGCACCTTGCTTGACCTCGTTGTCGGCGACTCCAGGCGACTCCTGACGCGCTTCACCACGCGTCTGGCGAAGCTCGGTATTTTCCGTCCGAAGTCTCACGACTTCGCTGTTCAAACTCGCCATCTGGGCTAGCATTGCCTGCATCTGAGCCATGACCTCGTCTAGCTGGGCCTGGGACATGATGCGAATGCTACGCCTTTCGGGCAGGGGAAAGGCCGTGGTAGAAAACCGTAGGGGGCGCAAACGCTTTTGTAGTTGTGTGAG